ACAAAAAGACTACACTATTCGGGACAAACAAGACCTTCGTGATTGACGCACCCGAAATCCTCTCAATCAATCAATCCACATGTCAGTATATGTTGCATTATAGATAACGTGAGAGTGGTTATTTAACAGTGTGCGGGCCCAGAGTGTTTGCTGTAGGAAATGCTGCCCTCCGCGTGTGAGCGCGTGCTGAACGGCGTCGTTGTCCGCGCCGTGGCGCTTCGGCTGCTTGGCGCCAGTGCGCGTGGCGGCCGCAGGGAGCGGGCTGCGTCGCCGCCGGGTGCCCCTTTTTTTTTTTTTTTTTAATATGGGGGAGATCTTTCTCTAACGAATGACGAGTTGCGGCGCCGACCATCCCATCTGCTTGTGTGGTTTCCTTCACCCAGGTTCCTCCCCCCAGCAGAGTACAGTCCCATCCGGGACAAGCCACAAACTTGAGCTTGAAAGGCGAACGATAATATGCACCCGCGAGAAGGAATGGTGTCGTATTTTTAGCTTCAAACTTTTAAGGCTTTTGACTTAAATCAATTGTGTCGTTTCGTTTTGAGTAACCAATTTCATAACGAGGGTCTTGTACTCAACCTACCAACGCATAATTTCCTACGAATTTTACCCTATATATTTGGTAATATATAATGTTAAATGGCGCCATTCACCTTTGAATTATGAAACAGAATGTTCTCTTTCGTCGCTTCGACTTCGCGACGTCGGAGCAGATTCGTAACGATAAGAGATAAGACCCCAAAAAATAATACATCATTATTACAACTTTTGTATAACAAATCATATACTTTATCTCCAAAGTATTCGGTCTCTAAAAGTTGATTCAACACGAAAAACATCACTCCAAACACCAGAAAACTCTAAATTGAATACATCGAAGATATGTCTTCGTTCCTTACAACTTCATTCTTCTGGAAATAGTGCTAATAACACAACATTGTAATTAGTACTGAATGTCTCGCTTTCTGCCTTCAGTGTTTTCCTTGACAGAAAAAGTTGTTGGCTTCAAAGTCAACCGTTTATTTCATTTATCAAATTTCCGCAGCGCTGGTTCCAGGAAAGTGATTGTTCTAGGGGTAAATTAGCGTGCAATTAAAGGTAGCGAAGTTCTAAGACTCGTCTTAACCCATTAACCCTCGAGAGGCAACGCCACTGAAAGTTTCGCGAGCAGCAGCGGGATCAAAATTCCCTGCCAGATACGTTTCGTTCTTCCAATTAACGTTATTCTATAGCTTTTCTCTCGCAAAGAAAGGAAATTTTTCCCTTGTAAACAAAATAAATTCAGATGTACAAATTTACAAAATTTATATTTAGGCGAATAACCTGGGAAACTGAAAATTCGTAACATCCACAAAATTCGTACAAAATAATTTGTGTATAATATTACTCTCTACATATTCTCTAACATATTTTCATCAATAATTCGAAAAAAATGCTTCTGTTTCTGATTCGGAATTGTTAACACTACCTTTGGGTCCTTGGAACATTTTTATTACTTTCTTTTGACTAATCTTGGAAGGTATTTTGAAGTGCGTTGTCCTCTATTTAGTCGCGCTATCTCTTCCAACAAAACAATTTTCTTCCACTTCAAGATCATACACCAGATCAGAAATAGTTTCTCTCTCAATCTCATAAGTTGAATCGTGATCTATATCATTCTATATCACCTTGTCCATCCACCCCGCTCTCAAAGAATGATTCATTAGACAGGATATTCTCATTTAATATTTCTTCTATTTTCTGAGGTTCCAAGAATTCCCTTGTTCCCTTGTTGATAATGAAAAAGACTCATTTGGGAATGTAAGTACAAATAATAAACGTAAACTAATGTACTTATTGTACTTGTAGTGATTTGAGAGTGAAATGCACAGCGAGAAAAGATACTTATATGACCGGCAACGAGGTGCAAATCAGCTCCAAACTGCTCCGTCCTCACAATCTTGCAGGCGGCCGGTATCTGAGGTAGCGGTGTTAGACACGATTTGTCGTCTTGATAATATAATATATAAATATAATATAATATATATAATATATATATATATAATATATATATATATATAATATATAGAATGTATATATGAATATATATAATATGATAATTATAATAAATAATATAATATATATAATATATATATATATATAATTATATTTATTTTGCCCAATTGGCGTCTTTGCTAGTGTGGCCAATTAATTACATTATACAAAATAAAATGAAGTTGACAATAAATATTTCATAATAAATACAATGAAAACGAACAATGAAGTAATAGTAAATATAATGTATTACCTAGAACCGTGGAATGTCCGTCTTCGTGGAATGTCACCACCCGACGAATACCTGGAAGGGCTATCACCAAACGTACCCGGAAAAATATTTCAGTGGTAGCAATTCTGCACTAGCGCTGCCGCTCGAGGGTTAACACCCAAATTAATTTTGTTCTCATAGCGCTCGCCCAGTGTCGCGTTCATGTGCTCAGGAGCCGTTGGAGAAGCAAATGTTAATTTTTTTTTTGTTTTGCAAAAATTGAGTTGACAGAAATTAGTGTAAGATATATCATACGATGGACGGTAATGAGTTAATATTATTACAATGAACTTTGATATATTCCAAATGTTTTCACAAATTAGTGTTATTTTTTACTGGGGTGATAAATAACTTCGTGTATTTCAAATGGAAAATTAATTCTCTAACATTACCCGTCTAACTAATGTTCTCATAACAACATTATTTCTATTATATTTGATTAGGAAATGAAAATTCATGTTTATTAGTTTCTTGCTAGATGTGCGTCACTTCAATGACTTCCCTTTGAGCCCTAGAAAATTGATATATGAACTGACAACATTTTTTAGTATCTTTAGTTACAAAATGTATGGGAACGCAAACCTTGTGACTCTACTATAAAAAAATCTTAAGCCTCTCCGTAGTACGTCTACTAAAAAACTCAGCGCATTTCTTGTTGTTTCAGGACTTTCTGTCTTATTGGCACACAAACTACACTGCTGCGGCAAATATCCTTCCTCTTGTGTGGATTCCGGATTCAATATGTGTTAAAATTCTTCTAATTATTTCCGTCAGATTTGAATTTTTGTGTAGGAAAAATAATCGAACTTTACCTTCATTTTCGAGTCTCAATATCATGTTTAGAGTTCGCATGTTTCAGTCTTCCAATCTTTCCTTTAAATTGGAAAACTCTAAGAAATTACATTTCAAGATGCACTAGAAATAGTTAATCATTTGCTTGCAGATGGAACGGAACTAAATAGTTCTAGGAAACAGGTTGTAGTGCAAAATGATTATTTTACAATGTTGAAATAAACAAATGGTAGACACATATTTAATATTCAAATCTGCTAAGTACAACACAAGAGGAACATCGAGACAAATAGAAAGTTTTCCTAGCCGCTGCCAACATCGTCATGAATTCGTTTCACGAAATTACCCAACGCTTCGAGAAAGTGGAATGCAGTCCCGTCACCTATGAGACAGGAAAGTGCAGGGCAGAATGCACATCCAACTTGAAGAAAGAGATTCTCGGGGCTGTTGATCGCGATTTTAATGTCCTTCAAAGCACCGCCTAGCGACTTTAGTAAAAACAGAAATTTCGGAAAGCATTAATTATGGCAGCTGAAAGTGCATTATATCAACCCTCATAAAAACCCAAAACAAATATTTTCTAGATGGTTTTAAAGGAGTTCATCGAATATCTAATATTCCTGTAGATGGTTTCAAGAAATGATGAGACACTCTTTATTAGAGAACAAATATTACAATCTACCTACAACCGCACTGGAGGAAGAAGCTCTCCATGTTTCGTAATAATTGGATAATCATTTATCGCGTTATGTAAAGCAGCCTATCGTTAGCCTGGGGCTGCATAACATGAAACAGGCGGAAGTATCAGTTCAAACTGCAAACAAATGAATGAACTCAATATTTTCATAAACGAAAATGTAAGCTAAAAATATATTTTTAGTATGTGTCATAATATTAAGAACAGAATCTGGAAAATGGAATTTTATTGGAGAAGCAGAATTCTGAAAGAAAATACTTTGAACCAGCATTACACACACAGTGGTATATATGGTGGCTTGGTCATTTGTTATTTCTTACAAGATTTTGTTAACACTCGCACCGCTTCAGCTTGCTTGTGTACACCCCTTTCTGGAATTTGAAGGGAAAATGCGAGCGGAGTCAGGGAAAGTTTCTTTACAAATCTGTAATATTTGTCAAAACTGACTTACTTATCGGTGGGAAGATATTTTCATGCATTACTGATATTTGT